AAGCCAAGCGATGTTACAGACCCCCCTTTCATCTTTCCCACTTTACTGTCTCACTGGGCTAGCAAAAGGTTAAGCAATAAGTTCCCTTGAGCTAGCAAGAGGTTAAATTAAGCGATGCTATTTGCGAATTTCTTTTGAGTTAGCAAAACCAAGCGATGTTTGGTCCCCTTACATCTTGTATTCTTCAGCTTTACTGTCTCATCCTGCTTGTTACATTCTTGGCCTCCTTTACAGCCGGCCCACGTTTACCCTTCATCCCCTAACTCAAGGACACGAAGACCCTGCAGAGGGGCCCGGACAGGCTGATCAATGGCTGACGGCACGAGGTTCAGCAACACCACACCCCGGTCCCGCACTTCGGTCACAACAACCCCAGGCATCGCGGCAGGCTGGGGGCAGAGCGGAACGCCGCGCGGAGGAAAAGGATCTGGAGGTGCGGGCCCCGGAAGCGGAGCGGGCGCACGGCGCGGGGCGGCGCCGCGGGCAGCCGGGCCGGGGCCGTGCGGGACGCGCGCGGTGATGACGCGATGACGGAAAGGAGCCGCGCGCAGCGCCCGCCCCGTTCCGCGGGCCGACAATGGCAGCGCGGCGACGGCGGGGCCGAGCGCGGGCTCTCCGCCGATGGCGGCTGCGGAGCCGCGGGGCTCCGTGCGGGGAAAGCGGGGAAAGCGGCGCTCCGCCGCCCCGCGTCCTCGTCGCCGCCCGCCCCGTGCCTCGGGGCCCCGTCCGTCCCCCGTAAGAACCGAGCCGTCCTCCGGAGTCGTCGCTGCGGCGACGGGCGCCGCCGGGCTGTAAGGAGCGAGCGGCGGGAGCCGCCCGGTGTCCGGGAGCGGCTCCTGGCTGAGCCGGGGCAGCCCCGAAAGAGAGGGACCGACCCCGCGGATCGAGGCGCGTCGGAGCCCGGCACGGAGTCGGGCGGGCGCCTTCGGTCCTCGCGCGGCTCAAATCAGCAGCGCTGTGCTGAGCTGCCACCCGGAGGTGGAGGACCCGACTGCCATTTTCCCGAGAAGAGAGCAGGCGGCGCTGGAGCTGACCAACGAGAGTCCGGGGCGGGCCGTCGCCGTCGCCCCGGGCCGATGGGAGCTTGCGTGCCGCCGTTCCCCTCAGGCTGAAAGCGGCCGCTTCCGAAGCCGGGGCACGTGCGTGGTGCGGGAGCCCGAAATGGACTCGGAGGAGCCCGGGCGGCACAGCCCGGGCCGGCAGGTAGCAGCGCTGCCGGGCGAGGCTCAGAGCTGGCGGGCCTCTGCCCGGAGGGACCGCATCCAGCACGGCGGGCTTCGGCTGCTCAGTGTGCGAGGCCGGGAAAGCTGGCGGGCTGCGGCTTCAGGGCGGGCAGAGGAAGTCACGGCGCCGGCGACATCAGCCGGGCTGCTGGAACCTGCGTGCTGTCACGCTGCGTTTCCATGACGACGGCGGGCCCTCCCTGAGGAGCCGAGGGCAGCTTTGCTGCTGTGTTTGTTACCCGATGAAGCCCGATGCAGGCGGGCTGGGCAGACAGTCTCACCAAAGAGGCCCGTGCTACAGCAAGATTGACAGCACGACTCCTGCTGTTCCCCTTGAGCCCTGGCCAGGCCTTGGGGAGAAAGCCACGAGGAGAAAGAGGGCAGCAGCTGTTCCCCTGCACTGCTCCGTACGTTGGTTTATTCCGTGCTCTGTATGGGATTTGGTTATGAACTGTTGCATGGGCTTGCTGTGGCAGTGAGGCTGTGCCTTCTCCTTGCAGACAGTGTCAAGATTGAGCTGCTGAACTACCGGCAGCTCTCGCGAGCCTCCGGCGTCCTGCTGCACATGGTGCTGCGCTGCGTGCGAGAGAGCGTGCTCTTATACTGTCACCTCCTGAGGAACAAGGAGCCCGTCTCATTTGTGTTCAAGAACCTTGGAGTTATGACATGCCAAGACAACTTCCTCTGCATGAGGTTCTTCTGCAGCTGCATTGCAAAGCTGGAGACCAATGCTACCATCCTTGCACTGTTCCACACTGTAAGTTGAGGAGGTTTTGAGGGTGCGCCGTCAGATCACCGCTGGCCAGCCTGGATGTGGCAGGCCTGTCAAGTGTCTTTCCCCATGCTTGCCCCCATGGCTTTCTCCTCTGGCAAAGAGATTTCCTGGATCCTTGCCCCTGCAGAAAGCCTGGCAGTGCTCTTGCATGGCCTCTCTATTTGGCCATCCTGCTCCTTCAGAGCAGAACAAAGCTCTGATGTTCACGGATAAGGCTTTGGTGGAGAGCAGCTTTCTCTTGGCATGGGAGCCAGGCTTGCCTTCCTGTCAACAGAGCCATGAGGAAATGGCCTTGGCAAGCCTCTAGCAGGTCTGTGTTCCTTTGCAGAGATTTTGGATGGAAGATTCTGCTGACTTCGGGCCAGAGACCACCACACATGGGATCTGGGTGTTCCCGAGGTAAGTGCGTTTCCTCTGCTGACTTCGGGCCAGGAGACAGGCTTCCTTCCCACCTCCTCCTCTGGGACATGCCCTGCTGGATCTCTGTGCTCAGCATCCAGTTGGGGAAAAATCCTGGAAAGTCTGGCACCTGGATAACTACTGTTGCTTTTTGGCTGTGTGTGTCTTCTCCCAGAGTGATGGGGGATCACAGTTGTGTTACTGGTGCCCAAGCTGTCCCGATTCCCATCAGAGAGAATGGACTGCACATGCAGAGGAATTTAGGCTACGTGTGCTGGTTTGGCATGGCCAGGAAGGAAAAGGGTGCCATGCTTTGCATAGCACATAGTAAATACTGCCGACCAACTGCGTGGGGTAGGAGGTCATCCTTCTTCAAGGGTTGTCACTCTTTGTTTCCAGGTTTCAGCTCACTGAGAAAAAGAGCAGAGCAGAGGCGGCCGCAGAACAGAAAGCTGCAGTAGAGCGGAAGATGAGTAGAGGTGAGGGAACGGGTCCCAGCTGTAGGGAGGTGGGCCTTGTCCCGTGCTGGGTGACCAGATCCAGGTTCACGTACTGTGCCTGTGGGGCTACTCTGAAGAACTTCTTTCTGTCGTGGTTCCAGGGGGCTCTGCTGGCAGGCTGCTGCAGACGTGGAAGACTCTTTCCCCCTCCATGCTGCTACAGCACGAGCCAGGCTCAAGGCAGCAAAATGTGGCGAAGGAGCCTTCTGCCAGGTGAGAGCCTTGGGCAAAAAGAAGGAGATGCATGCACTCGCATAGGAGTGGCCTCCCCTTCGGAGCTGCCAGCTCTTTGCACTCAGAAAGGCTTTTGACACACATGTGTCCCAGTAGGGGCCGTTCTCTCCAGGTATGGCAAGTGCACAGCATGATTGCCCGAGGCAGACACACTTCATGTTCTACCCTGGTCCCCGCTCCCTGGGGGAGCTGAATGCTGATCCCTATGGATCGAAGAAGCTCTTCTCCCTTCAGGGGTCTCTCTGCGTTGCACCGGAGCCCATCTTTATGGTTGTGGGAGCATGGGGGCAGACTGAGGTGCCCTGGGCTCCTGCAGACTCCTCTTGTGTCTGTTTGCAGCGCGCTCCCGCTGTGTGCAGGCAGCTTCCACAGGACAAAGAAAGCAGGACAGAAGGAAGCATCTACTCCTGCCCAGACCAGCACTGCACTTCCTGCCTCAGAGGAGTCTAAGAGGGTGCTGCAGGTACCGGTTCTGCCTTGCTGCAGGGACTGTGCTGCTTGAGACTGCACAAATGGTAGAATCGTAGAAAAGTTTGTGTTGAAAGGGACCATTCAGACAACCTAGTTCCAATCCCCTGCTGTAGGCAGGGACACCTGTCTCTAGACCAGGTTGCTCTAAGCCTGACCCAGACTGGCCTTGAGAACTTCCACAGGGAGGGAAGCAAAAGCCTCTGTGTGTGCAGTGATCTGGAGCACAGCCCTTGGGGTGCCATCATTTCACATTCCTGTCCACTCCTTCAGCTCCTCTTCGGTATATGGAGGGTGCTGCACACCGTCCCTGTCTCTTCTCACCTCCTGGCCTGCCACCTGCCACAGCACACACGGCTGTGAGAGGGGAATATGGCCTCTGAGCCACGTTTGCCACAAGTTGCGGATCCCGGCCTGGCCTTGGGGCCCCTGGTCCTTCAGGGCAAAGCAGTGCCAACAGGCCAGCAGAGGTGAGGAGCAGGAGCATAGAGTTGAAGGAAGGCCCCAGGGGCTGAGGCTGATCCTGTATGCTGCTGTGTCTCTGCAGGAGCTCCGGGAAGTGTCTGCGTGGAATGAAGCAGACTGCACGCGCCTTGTGTACCAGCAGCAAGTAGAGCAAGCACGGGCAGAAATGGCAGCATGGGAAGGCTGGAGTGCAGGGGAGGACCAGCATCCGCCCCAGTTACTGTCAGGGATCGACCCTGCTGTTAACCATCCTCTGAGCCAGGGTGCAAGCTCAGCAGTGAACGGGTTGGGAGCGGGACGGGCGCCGCGCAGCATGGCAAAGGCTGGCCTGCCTCCCTGGGAGGAGAGCTTGGCACAGCCCCGCAGGGAGAAGGGAAAGGCAGTGGGCAGCCGGGGGCTGGCAGGGCCGAGTCTCCTGCTTGCCAGGGCCTGCTGCAGGGCCCTTGACAGAGGGCCTCTGGGAAACAGCCCCATGCACCCAGCTGCTTTGCTGACAGCATCTCCTCTTTGGCAGCTGCTGGCCAGGGAGAGCATGCATGCTCCGCATCCTTCAGCACAGCCCCGGGGACAGCAAGTGGGGAGGAGGTGGAGAAAGAATGTGGATCCTCTGCCGGGAAGTAAAATGGGAACAGCGACCAAGCTGGCACTGCATGCTGAGTAAGTGTGTGCGGGCTCTGCTGGCTGCCTGAGGCACTCGGGCAGCTGTGACTCTGCAGCTCGGGGACAGTCATGGCCCGGGCTGCGGCAGCAGGAGGGTGCGGGGCTGGCTGAGGGCAGAGGCAGAGGGGGCTCAACGGAGCCTGAGAGATGACTTTCTCCTCCTGTTGCAGCCTCCTTTCCCTGCAAGCGGCTCAGGTGCTCCAGAAATTGGAGCCGCGCCTCCATCAGCAAGAGGCTTTTGCCAGCACAGCGGAAAGAAACCGGCAGAAGCTGGAGCTGAAGCGGCAGCTCCCCTGGTGAGCTCCACAGGCAGCAGATCCTGAGAGCCAGGCTGGAGCTCAGCCTGCACTACTTGCTCAGCCCGTAACACTCCGTGCACTGTTCTTTTCACCTCCCTAGTGCTCGATGCTCACACCACTCCGGGGGGAAAGTGCAGGCAATGGTGGTGACCGCGGTGGAGCTCTCAGCAAGGGGCTGGGAAGCTGTCCAGATTTCCACCTGTGAATGGAAGATCATAGAATCAAAGACTCGTAGAATGGCCTGGGTTGAAAAGGACCTTGAAGATCATCTAGATTCAACCCCCCTGCTATGTGCGGCGGCGTCAACCAGCAGACTGGGCTGCCCAGAGCCACATCCATGCCTCCAGGAATGGGGCATTCACCACTTCTCGGCAAGCTGTTCCAGCATGTCACCGCTCTCCTTGTTAAGAACTCTTACTAACGTCTAACCAAATTATCCCCTCTTTCACAGTTTAAAACCATTCCCCCTTATCCTATCATTATCCAGCCTTGTCAACGGCCAATCCTCCTCCAATTTATATCCTCCCTTCAAGAATTGGAAGGCCACAATGAGGTCTCCCCGGAGCCTTCTCCTCACCAAACTAAACAAGCCCAGTTCCCTCCACCTTTCTTCATAGGAGAGGTGCTCCAGCCCTTTGATCATCTTAGTGGCCCTCCTCTTGATGCAAGAACTCTGCGTCTTTCTTGTACTGGGGGCCACAGCCCTGGACGCGGTACTCCCAATAAAAAAAAATTGGCCTTATTTCCAGTCAGTCTGCTGGTGTCGTGTCTGTCGCCATAAATTAACATGAGGAAGCTGGAGCTGTGCTTTGAGAGAGGAGTTTGGGTGGCAACGAGAGCTGCTCCCAAGGCCCGGTAGGCCCATGTTCTCCAACAGCGGGTTCCCAGGATGGCAGCCATGTCTGCTGGCTGTGCACGTTTCCTGTGCAGAAGTCATGTGTCACCTCGTATCCCCATAGCTCCCTTCCAGCAGCAGAAATTCCATGGCAGAACCACAGGGGAGCTCCATGGGGACGAGGAGCAGGCAGGGGCATGGGGAATACGAAGGCATCTGAAAGGCCTCTCCTTTCCCCAGAGGGTTCGAGAGCACTCCTTCCTGCAGCTGGGGACTGTATTGACAGGAGTTCTGCAAAGGTGGATTTGCTTGTAACTATAGCCAGGGAGTTTCAAACCAGCTGTTACAATGCTGTCCAGAAGGGGAACATTTACTTTCTCTCTCTGAAACAGAGGAAATCATCCTACCTCTTGTACTAACAGCACTGAGACAAAGATTTGAGGTGGCAGTCTGAAGGGCACATTGAGCTTGACTGGAACAGCTGTACTGTGAGAAACTATTTGTCTTTCCACGGGGGACACAGCTGGAGGAGAAATCCAAAACAGGGGAAATTAGGGGAATCCGGGGAGGCAGATGATTGGCAGGCACAGCTCTGAACCCAGGGAGATCTTGGAGTGGATGCTCCTGGAAGGATGCTTAGACACATGCGATATGATGAGGTGATCCAAGAAGCAAGCATGGCTTCACCAAGGGCAGATCGTGCCTGAGCCATCTGGTGGCCTTCTACAATAGGAGTGACAGTACTGGTGGTCCAAGGAGGAACAACTGATGTCATCTCACTCTGAGGCTCTTGGTTTGATGTCCAGGAGCTGACCTTGATGCCCCTTGTCTCATCTAAAGCCTCTCTCCTCCTACCCTGTGGGTTTTGTGATCCAGCGGGGACCATGCAGGGACACACACAGCAGCAGTGCAGCCAGGAGACATGGGCACCGGCAGCAGTGGGAACCCAGAGTCCTTTCAGAGGAGATGCAACTCTGTCACCACCTAATAATGGGGCAAAATAGGTGATTCTCACATCCAGCGCTTTCTGATGATATAATGAATAAAGAAACTTAATGCTGCATGATTCCATGAATTGCACAAGGGGCAATGGGAAGGGAAGGGAGGGAAACTGGTGAGAGACACAGCAAGGTAATGGAAGGGAAAGGAGACCAGGAGGAGACGCCTCATGGGAAGGGAAGGAATGGAAAAGAAACTGTGGGGAAACACCGCAAGGGAAGAGAAGGGGGCGGGGGAGATGGTGTAAGGGAAGGGAAGGGAATGGGATTGGGGGAATATGCCACATGGGAAGGGAAGGGAAGGGAAGGGAAGGGAAGGGAAGGGAAGGGAAGGGAAGGGAAGGGAAGGGAAGGGAAACATGGTGAGACACCACAAGGGAAGGAAAGGGGACCGGGGGGAAACACCACAAGGGAAAGGAAGGGGGCTGGGGGGGACGCCACAAGGGACGTGAAGAGTAAAAGATGGTTCACAGAAATAAAGGGTAAAAGATAGTTGACAGAAGCAAATGTACAGCAGCTGCTAAAAGGATGAGGATTGCAGACACTGGGACTAAGACAGTGAGGGCATTAGAGAACATAAAGAGAAGAGTTTGAGAACAGCCCAAGAACCTCCGGCATGTAGGTGATAAGATATCCTCAGGGCAGGCAAGAACTGGATCGGGGGCTGCCCCTCCTGCAAGATCAGAACTTTACAGTGAGGAAGAGGATGATTCTTTATCCCACGACCACCAGGAGGAGACCCCCATGACTCACTGCACACACGTGAGGAGGAGGGACTACATGCTGATGGGTTCTCAGAAATATAATGAATATGTATCCAAATTCCTGGAAACAACTGATTATGTATTAGTTCGGCCTATATCTGTAGCATGCTTTTTCCTCATGGTGTGCAGGTCAGGCAGATCTATCCCCTTGCTTCAGGGTGTATGTGCATTGCTGGAATAAACATACCTGCTCTATACCCTTAATCTGGCTATAGGATTTGATTTCTGCACGTCAATCTGGCACCCTGGATGGGACAACCTCTGTTCAGCCGCAGGACCGGCTGAAGGGGGGACGCCTTTGGTGTGCCCCGAGATTTCTCGGAAGGGCTCCCCTTCTTCATCCGGTCACTGCGGGAACAGACAAGGACCATCCATCGGCGGACCAGGTGTGTGTGTGAAAAGGGGGAATCCGTAAGTCTTGGGGAGCTGTCCTATGTGGGGTATGAAGGAGCGTGCATCGAGGTATGTGAGCTCACGGGTTGGGTGGCTGGCTGGAGTAGGAAGACTCCTTGGGGAAGTTCCTATGAAGGGGACCTGTAAGTCATATGCGAGGAAGAGCAATAGCTCTCCCTTGGGTGATCGGTAAGAGCAGGTATCTTGTCAAATTGAAATGTGGGAGTTACGGGTTGTATTATTGTTATCACCGTCTGCCATAAGTGTTCGGTACCGTGTGTTTGAGTAATTGCTATCAAAGTACTCGAAAGGAGTCCGGAGCTCTGATTTGGTAAAGTGTAAAGCCAGAACTGTGTGTGATTGCGAGCGAATGTGTTGAATACATGAGGCATTGCAGCACAGCTGCAGGGTGAGTGCGGAGTATAACGATGATCATTGTCTGACTGTCTGTCTTTATGTTTTTGTATGAATTTATGAATGGGGACGATGAACCCAGAGAGAGATGCCCATTCCATTCAGGGAATGAGTGCCAACTCATTTATGTAATGTTGTATTAGGCGCCAACGAGGCTATGGGATGTGACGCGATAGGACCTCCCCTGCTCAGTGATTGGACAATGCATGCTAGACGAAGTAGGACATGAGTGTATTTAAACGGATGCTACGCGGTAATAAGGGCCATTTTACTGTTCACCACATTGGTGTATGCCGGCAGTTCTTGGTCAGGGAGCTGATCAGGTGAGCAAAGGTTGATACAGTGAGAATGTAATACGTGTGGCAACAATGTAAGATTGTGTTTTGCTTGGGAGGAGGTGCGTGAGGGAGGCGGGTCAATCAGTGCTGTTCTGCGGCGAGGTGTTTATAACCAAACAATACGGATTGTTAGGGAAAAGAAGGTATGTTTATGGAAACTGAAGAACTATATTGTTTGATTTGTTTTGAAGAGAAAGGGACAAGCTGTTTTGATGGTATAAGAAAGTGTAATCATTAATGGTATACGGAAGTAGAATTGAGGGTATGTGGAAGTTTAACTGAGGGTTAAACAAATAGTGGAATAATGTACAAAGGAAAAAGGGTTAAAGAGAAAGTGAGTTTAGCTGCACTGGCATGAGAGCAACCCCCCACATTTCCCATGAGCAGAACTTGGTGTGAGAGAGAGGGCTGGGGATGCAGACTGATGCTCTAGGAAACCCAAAATTCCAGTGTTAGCACTGGAAGCCTCTGGAAAGGAGGAGGTGAAACTGAAATATTACTACTATTACTACTATTAATAGTACTTCTCTGAAAGGGTGGTTGGGCGCTGGAATGGGCTGCCCAGAGAGGTGGTGCAGTCACTGACCCTGGAGGTGTTCAAGGAATGTTTGGATGTTGTGTTGAGGGACATGGTTTAGTGAGAACCATTGGTGATGGGTGAATGGTTGGACTGGATGATCCTGTGGGTCTTTTCCAACCTTGGTGATTCTATTTCTATGATTCTATGAAATATGATGTTAGTAGTTTATATAATGATGAGAGTTTGGAAAGTGAAAAGTTTGGGAAGGACACAGGCTGAGGAAGGCAAAGACGAGCAGGGTGTAACAGAGATGTCAGGACTGAAGAGAAGTGAGTGATGTGAAGAGAAAAAAAAAAACAAAAAACTGATTGAGAAACAGAGATAGTAAGGAAATTGTGAATAACAGCAGCTGTTACCATTGCAGCCCTAGAGCCTAGGACCCAGGGACCCCCTCAGAGAGAGGTAGGGGGGCTGGAAGAGCCCAGGGAGGGATCCACCCAAACGAAAGCAGGTGCAAAGTGCAGGGAAATGGGACACTGGTGGAGAAATCCTACCAAGCTGAGTGAGAGGGAACCGTCTCTGTTTGCAAAGCTGAAGGATGGGAACCTGGGAAGTTTATGCTAGCAAATGCACTGGTTATATTGCAGCTAGGGGAGCAGGATAAAGAAGTTGTCATGGTTTTATGATTTTTGGTTATCGGTATTCCACATCATAACATCATGTAGTGCACTGGGAGTTAAAGTGTTAATGCTCCAGCTCCGGGCACCTGTCTGGAAGAGAAGAACCACCACATGCCCCAGGGGGCTTTGCAGTCAGAGAGGAGATATAACCCTGGCAAGGTCTCCTGATGCGCTTTTCTTCGTCAGGCTCTCCTCCCTGCTGCTTAGCTGGACTGCACATCTCACCTTAGTGTTATGGTGAGGCCTATCCACCTCTCGGACACTCTCTGTCATTATATTTGGTTTATTAGCTTCAATTCTAATTATATTGTATTGCAGTGTGTTATCTTGCATTCCAATACCATATTTAGTAAATTAGTTTGTTTCTCCTCAGATCATTGCTGCTGTTTTTAATGATTTTGGCATCCCCTGTTTCCCTTTTCCAGAGGCACGGATTCGTGAAATCCCTCTGCCTCATGGAAGTCATGGAAGCCGAACCAGCCCATAAACCATTGACAGCAGGCTATTTCCCTCCTATCTGTGTAACATCTATTCTCCAATGAAAGGAACAATGTTTGTTACCAGAGAAGTTCCACATCACTGTTGATCCGCGTCTCCATCTGATGGCCACACAGACAGCTGTCCTAAATCCATATCACAGAATCATAGAATTGCTCAAGTTGGAAAAGACCTTAAAGATCATCAACTCCAAATGCAACCTAGCCATACTACCCCAACTCTAACAACCCTCCCCTTAATCATGTCCCTGAGCACCACGTCCAAATGGTTTTAAAACACATTCAGAAATGGTGACTCAACCACCTCCCCAGGGAGCCCATTCCTATGCTTAACAACCCTTTCTGTAAAGAAGTGTTTCCTGATATCCAACCTAAACTTACCCTAGTGCAACTTCAGGCCTTTTCCTCTTATCCTGTCACCAGTGAGAAGAGACCAACCCCGCTCTGTTCACCCAGATTTGGCCACACTAGAATTTCATAGCCGCATTTATAAGCAGCATCTAATGAGATTCATTTTATTTCCAGGGAAAATAAATGAAGATTGGCCACTTGCATTTTAGAAGGAATGCCTGTCAACATCATTCAGCTGCTTAGTCACAAGAGTTGATCTGACTTTCCTACAGAAATTTCAGTTAACTGTGAAGCATTGATTGTCTGTGGAAATCAAAGATGCATTATTTGTAAACTGAAAGCAGATTCTTCAGAATGTAGTGTTTTTGTTGTTGTTGTTTATTTGTTTTTAACATACCTAGCATCAGAAGATCAACATTTGGAACTCTCTTTTAAGAACTACTATACTGACAGAGATTTTTATCTTAAGGTCAGGAAACACAGATCAACTGATTCTACTTCAGCTCAATCACTTCAACATGCTAAAGAAAGCATCCTAAAATAGTTTTCATGAAAACTACATAAGAATGTTTTCTATTTTTCGATATTTTTGTAATACTTGCTCTCCATTTCACTGATAATAAGAAGGGTTATCAAAAGTGTTCATTGGACACACTGGACATAGGACATACATTAATTCACCTGTTGTCGTATGGCTAAACAAAATTTATCTTTGAATTCAAAGGATTCTTACTATTCTGAAAATGTTCAAAATTTTCATTTTTTCTTCTTTTGAAACCTAAATTCATCGGTGGCTTCGTCTCACATTTATTTTGCTTCTTGGTTCATATTAGAAAACCCAGTGGCTATAAATTTGATGTCAAGTGATTTAAGCCAACAGACTAAGGGAACATGAAGTCCTACTGATTAAATGGCTACATCTCAGCATATGGAATATTTGTGGTTTGATTCACCACAACACCAGATGTACTAGTGTATTTGCAGTGGAAATTTCTGACACAAGAAGAGAAAAATCCCACAGCACATTTAGGAGAAGTCTAATAATGAAACTGACTGCAACCTCTCTGCATAAGAGATGTCAAGTAAATGCAAACAAGTAACAATCAACTGTGAGCTTTTGTGCCACGCAATCACGTCCTGCTTTTTTCCATATCAAGGAGGAAAAAATCTGGACATATCTTCAAGTCCTTCCCTGTGGGTGTCCAGAAAGATGCAAGATAAACTGCTGAACGCCAGATTTGGAGCCTGGGATTAAATGAGCAGAACAAGAGAGAGGCTCATAATAAAGTTGTGTCTGTAGTTCTTACTTTGATGATCTGCTATGTGCAGTGGTTTGTTGACAAGATTCCCATGTAAGGATACATTTCAGCCACCAAAGAACATTTTGTGCCTTGAGATAAAACTAGTGCAGTCTGGTGAAGTGTTCCCCCCAGAGGTTGAGCATGGATAACACAGAATTAATGACCATTTGCTCCTCTGTGGTAGTCTAATTTCTTCTCTTTCACTGTGCATCAGTTTACTGTCAAAAAAGAAAACACTAAGCTACAAGGAGTGGCACTGTATTGCATTAATAATCCATCAGCATTGTTCAAAACACTGCAACATATTTGCTGGCTTACATGTCAGAATTCACAACCCAGATTGCTGGAAAATATACGGAAAAGGTATTCCTTTAAATGTTCTCTCATGGTTTTTCACCCTCTTTATTGTGCTAATAGATTGCAGTAATATTTTGCCAAGTAATAACTTGGGCATCTTGAACAATCATGATTATTTCTGCCAGTGTCTTGAATTGTGATGTGGAATATAACACAGTGTCACTGTAACAGAAGGGAAAAGTAGGGAAGGTAAAAGGAGAAAGACTCAAAGTTAACAAATAGTTAGTAAAAACCAAAGGTTGAAAAGTGATTAGCTAGAGGTGAATGAAATCTCAGATGCTCCCTCTAAAGGTAAGCAATCCAATTAGACACAGACAGCAGACTAGATCAGCAATTAAATCTAAGACTAAAGCAAGGATTTTCTTCCTGTAATTCTGTCACTTGAATCACAAAGCCCTTGATGTTTCTGGATATTTTTCAGACCCTGTTGGCTAAAAGTGATTATTAGCATGAGGATGCATAATTCATAGTGTTAAATAAGTGAGATATGATATGTCTAAGTCCATAACAGACAAGCAAGATAAAACTGCCACTCAAAATAGCAAATTATCTACTATTAGACATATATAATTGATTTGTCCCTTTCCATTGACTATAGAGGGAGACTCGAGTTCTGAGCAATCAACACCTACCTTACCAAAACCAGCTGAAAGTAATCCCGCCCAGAAGGGTAATGGGGATTTCAAGAGAGTCTACTTAAACCTGAAGTAATTCATGACTCAAAGGGAGCTCAACTGTACTCTTAGTCAAAAAAAAAAAAAAAAAAAAAAATCAGCAGATGAATGAAGGCCTCTGCTTTTTCAGCTGTATCCAATTTAATTAAATTTAATCAACATTAACAAATTTCTTCTTCAGCGTGAGATCAGACTTTGGCAACTGGGATGATAGTATCAGGTTAAATCCATTTATCATGCTTAGGAGAAAGAATGCCTGATGTTCCTCGGAAAATATATACTGTGCTAATGCCACAGATGATTCAAGCTGTGGCAGAACAGTGTCCACATTTAAAATAAGATTTTAAATCTGCAATGTGAGCTCTCTATCTGAGTTGTCAGTCCAACATCATCCCTAATATAAGAAAACAAGCTATATTTTTCTGGTGAAATTCACATCATCTGTCTTGAAGGCACTGGATGGCAAAACTGCTGAAGGTAGGACACTTTCTTCAAAATGCTTGTTGTTGTGATATGAAGCAAATCTGAGGAAGAACTAAGACCAAGTTCTGACAGCCACTAAACAAGCAGTGCACGAGGTGGAAGTCGTTCTTTAGAGGTGTTTTTTCTGAGGTAATAAAACACTGATCTGTCAGTAAAACAATGACCACCATTTTAGTAACAGCTCATGACCAAGGCAATAAGTTAAAAACTCAGAAGAGGTCAAAGAGCTTAGGTAGAACTCTACTTCAGCTACATGGATCTAAAAAGTTAAAGGAAAGCACTATAAATAGATGGTATTCCAGTATGCAAGGAGCTTTTAATGTTCTTCTCTATTCTGAGTAGCTTATATAGTGGTGTCTCTCAAAATGTGGAACTTCGGTAATGGACTGTTCCTTCGTTTCTATGCCGAAGGAAAGAAGGAAAAACCTTCAAGAAAACTTCCTTTCAAATACATCAGATTTTTAACTTCCTAAAAGTGTTAAATTTCCTTATGTTATCCTAAAATCATCCACGATTCTCACTTTCACAATTCCCATTTTCTTGTTGATGTTAGAAGTCCCACTGACAGAAGGGCACCTCGTGTGAGGTAAATTAGAGCAGACAGAAAAACTGGGCTAAGCCAGGTTGGTGAATCGTGATAGTGTTGTGAGCATTGCTCCTGCTTTGAAGATGTATTCTCTATCTTTTGTGAACTGCTGACCAGACCCTCGTGTGTACGGTTGAAAATGTACTCCCCCAGCACTCTATCCAAATAAGGATAGATTTCTGTCACCAAATAACATTTGTGCCTTGAGGTTTACCAGTTCAGTCCACTGGTGGGTTTCCCCTGTAGGTAATAGAGTTTGAGCCTGCGGAACACAGAATTAAGGACCATTTTCTCCACTGTGGTAGTCTAATTTCTTCTCTTTCTCTGTGCATCAGTTTCCCCTTCAAGGAAGTAAGAAAACAACAAGCTACCATGGATGGCTGCATGGATAATCTGTTTGCATCACACACACAGTGGCATTCCTTGAGTAATGAGCCAATGTGACTAATGAAGCAGATGGTAATGAGCTTCACCCTTTAATTTTTCATTAGTGTTCTCTATGGGTATCTTTGCTGCTTATTATCCTTTCCTCCATTAAAAGACAATAAGCAAAGGATATGTATTTGGTTCTGCTTTGATTTTGCTTTGGTTTTACTTTCTTTGGATTGTGATTGTTTTGACTGCCAGATGGGTTTCCCAAGACTCTTGCTTCAGTTTTCTTCACACAGAGGCACAACGGAGGGTAATGAGTCAGTGTGGATGTTGAAGCGAATGGTACTGAGCTTTACCCTTTATGCTTTATTAGTGTTCTCTATAGATATTTTTCCCTCTAATTATCTCTTCCTCCATTAAGAAATGATAGACAGAGGGCACTTGGCTTTGGTTTGTTATGCATTGATTTTACTCCATCTTGTGTGCTTTTCCTGAAATTTGGCTCTTTGAAGCCTTTGTGTCCCACAGCCAGTTGGGAAGGCTGTGAATATGAGCCAAAGCTTACTACAGCCTGAGATACCTTGACTTTTGCATGTGAATTCATCAAATCCAAAAAAAAAAAAAACCCAAATGCATTAGAAGACATCCTCCCAGTCCTCTTAGCTGGGAAAACTAGACTGTGGGAGAGAGCAAGCAGTCAATGCTGAAGTAGAGAAGTGTCCGCTGCTCCCCAAGGTAGCAAAAGGCTTTTGCTTTTTTTTGCACTGTGTTTTGGTTGCCAGCTGGTCTGAAGCACTCTGATTTCAGCGTACCGACTGGCCTTCTGGTTCTTTTGATTCCTCTCAGATGAAGCCAAATGAAGAACGAGAACTAAAAAACCACACACTTCTGACAGAATTTGTCCTCTCTGGATTGTCCAGCCAACCAGAACTGCAGAACTTCCTGTTCTTCACGTTCTGTTTGATTTATACCTTCACCATCACTGGGAACCTGCTCATCTTCCTGGTCACATTGCATCCCACCCTCCATATGCCCATGTACTTCTTCCTCCGGGTCCTGTCCTTCCTGGATATTTCCACAGCATCCATTGTTGTCCCCAAGATGCTGGTAAACTTCCAGGCAGAGAACAGGAAAATTTCCTACGTAGGCTGTGCCTCACAACTCTACTTTGTGATTTTCTTAGCGGCCACTGAATGCTACATTTTGGCAGCTATGGCCTATGACCGCTACGTGGCCATATGCAACCCCCTTAGGTATGCCATCATCATGAACAGAAGAGCTAGTCTTTCCCTAGTCCTGCTGTCGTATTGCAGTGGTAACGTAGTGTCTGTGGTGCAGACAGCTTGGGTGTTCACACTGCCATTTTGTGGGCCCAATAAGATTAACTACTTCTTCTGTGATATCCCTCCACTCATTATGCTCTCCTGCACGGATACCTCCTTGTACGAAAAGCAGATAGTTACAGCCACGGTGCTGGTCATCTTTGCACCGTTTTGTCTCATCCTGGTATCCTATATCTGCATCATCTCCACCATCCTCAAGATTTCCTCTGCAGAGGGCAGACGCAAGACCTTCTCCACCTGTTCTTCACATCTCATCGTTGTAACGCTTTATTACGGCAGTGGGACCTTGATTTACTTACGGCCCAAGTCCAGTAATTCACAGGACACTAAGAAAGTCTTGTCTCTCATATATACAGCTATAATCCCCACACTAAATCCCCTGATTTACAGCCTGAGGAATAAGGAAGTGAAAGCAGTGATAATCAAAATTTTAGCTCACCTGAGGAAGATATAAACACACACTGCTGAAGGGAAGCTTTCTCCTCCTCTGTACGTTTGTTTTGTTTTTGTTTTTTTTTTTCTTTTGTGTTTGACTCTTTTTAAATGCCCTGATAGATGAAATTCTGGAAAAATGGATGTGTTTCAAAGTGTGCTTAGCATCTTTGTGTTTCTTTTGTTCACTATGAGTGTACATTAATTGCTAATTACTAATTCAGTATTCATGATCTATTACCTTGTATCAGATGTTGGTGATGGAAGTTTTTCTCTTTTGCTCTTGTGTGATTTTCTCACTTTGCTGCATGGAAGAAATATGCATTATTTCATCCAGAAAGATACATTTTCCATCCCAACCCTTGACTTTAATAGTCAGGCATCTCATTATTGGACTGGCAAATGGGAGTGAGCAAGTGATTATGTGGTGCTCAGCCACCTGCACCAGGTAGGTTAAAGCACTACACCTCTTAAACTCACTCACTGACTTATTCACGCATCATGTCTTCTCCTTTACATGTTTTAGGCTGGGAAATGAAGACATAATTTTGTGCCTAGACAAAACCAGTATCAGTGCTGACAGAGGAAGAAATGGGCAGAGGAGAGGACAGACAGAACAGATGAAACAGCCCAGATGGGTGAAGTCATTCATACCTGTGTGAGGCAGGTGGCACATCTGTGTGGTTGGAGTGGGCTCTATTTAGAGCCAGCAGGAGTGAATGGCAGAAAAATGTGAACATATGTGAAGCTGGAGAGGAGAATGGATGAGTAACTTTGTAGTTGGACATATGGATGGCCACCCAGGGAATGAAAGGTAGATGAGTGTTGAAGGAGTTGATAAGAAAATGCAGAATGTGATGGAGAGGATAGAAAAAAATTACCAGGTTCATGACTGATAGGTCAATTCAGCACCTGAAGATGGGTATCTAGAAACACCAGTACAGATTGCTTTTCTGTACTGAACAGAGCCTTAGCTCAGTTGTCAGAGCTTTGAGCAGGAATGCCATTTGCATCAAAGAGTCATAGCACAGGTTAGTGTTCCTCGCATAAATGAGGAAATCCAATCTTTTCAGAAAATGCCTGTCTTCCATATTTCCTATGCTACATGTGTTGGCATCATGTGTCTATCGTGGAAATGACAGAAGATCCAAAATGATACTAGACATTCATGTTTCAGAAACCAAATCTCCCCTCTATATTTAAAAAGGAAGAAAATAATCTTCCTCTTAATAATCCAAGATTTTTATACATTTAGGTATTTTCACATAAATACGTATAAATGAATAAATCTTAGCAGGGAGAAATATCCCTCTCTTCACAGTCATCCCTTATTCATGTCACTGCTTTTTGGCAATACGCACATTTGTGAACAACTTTTCAAGAAAGAAGCACAGAAAGAGTAACATCTCACCAAAAATCTGTGATGAACACCTTGAGACCTCACTAAGAACTGCAGCTTCTTCCACGCAAGTATTGCTTTAGTTTCATAAAAACACTCAACTATCCTAGTAGTTTTATGGGTGTTTTGCTCTCCTTTTTTATGTTTTAATAAAAAACGTTAACAATTAAAATGTCTTGTTACTTATACATATTAACTATGTTATACATCTTGTGAAGGCTGCTGCAAAAGTAATGCCTCCTTTTTCGTTACATCCGTCCACAACATCAGAGGTGGATGTTGGTGGTATGGCAGTAGAGGCTGAACCTTTCAACCAATATCCCTTTACACGTTGTTGCCGTGTGACAGATGGCAGCAGAGAGGCAGATGACTGAATGGAGTCTCACATGAGGGTGCATATGAATCAAAGTTGTGTCACTGAATTCCTCTGTGTGGAAAAGATGGCACCCACTGACATTCATCGATGCTTGCTGAATATTAATTGAGATGAAACAGTGAATGTCAGCAGAATGAAGGGAGATGGTGCATTTCAACGGTGGCAGCTGTGACAGTGGTTCACCTCTGCTGGTGCAGATGTTTACGAGTCCGGCATGCAGGCTCTTGCTCATTACTGGTGAAAATGCATTGCTAATGGTAGTGACTCTGTTGAAAAAAGATGTCTTGTAACTTGGAATTTGCTCTATCAAACAGTGTTATTCTGCTCTTTGTTTTAGTTTCCATGCAAATAATTAGGAGACATTATTCTTTGAGCAGCCTTTGTAGATGAGGCCGTAGGCAATTCCTCTTCACTCAATGGGGCCCAGGCAAGCCAAAAGGTTGGACACCATGCTTTAGCATCTTTACCAATGTTTATCAATGAGACAAATGGGTATTAAGTGCACCCTCAGCAAGTAGGCAGACTGCACCAAAGGGACCTGGACCTGGGCAAGCTTAGGAAATGGACCTGCATATAAATAAAATTTAAAAATACTTTTATATATATGCAGCGTCTGATGCACGGACACAGATGTGGACAATCCAAATCGTTTATTACAAGTTCTCACATCACTTATATTCCTTCACAAGTTTTCTTTTCCTAGCTTTCCCATCTACCTCTACAACTTTCCCATCCACCTTTACATGTCAACAGAGCATTCTACAAACACTCTTCAACCGTTCATGCAGGTGCTTGTCCAATCAGAGCCGCCAGACTTTCTTTGTTCTTCTAGAGGTGTCCTTGGTTCTCATGCTGTTTATCTTGCTCCAAGCTGCTGTTCTTGAAGAGTTTTTCTTGTATTCCCACATATATATATATATTATTTTTATTTTTATATATAAAGCACCTATCACCTGACTGATAAACATGCTTTGTAGCCATTCTGATGGCAGGGGTAAGAACAGGAATCAGCCTGTTAGTATCTCAGCATTTCTGTTTCCAACTAATTGAAAAAAAAGAAAAAAGAAAAAAAACGCCACAGGACTTTTCTGCCAGCCTGGCATGCTGGCATTTAATACTGCTACTCCATCAGGGTTGGAGGGAGACTTATTGTGAATGACAACAGTTTGGACTGTAATTGAATGAAGTTCAAAAAGGCCAAGTGCAAGGTGCTGCACCTGGATTGGGGAAATCCTTGATATGTGCAGACTGAGAGAAGAACTCATGGAGAACTTCTCCCGTGGAGAAGTTTATGGGGGTTCTAGTGAATGAAAAGGTTTACATGAGCCATCAGTGTATACCAAGGTCAGCTGTATCCTGGGCTGCATCAAAAGAGATGCCAGGCGGATGAAGGAAGTGATTGTCCCACTCTGCTCTTCTCTTTTGAGGCCCCACCTGGACTATTGCATCCAGATCTGAGGCCTCCAGCACAAGAATAGGCAGTTGTTTAAGTGGATCCCACAGGAGTGCCATGGAGATGATCAGAGGGCTAGAGTACTTCTCTGAAGAATGGCAGTTGAAGCTGCTCTGCCTGGAGAAGAGGAGAGCAGATTGCAGTATTTCATTACTTAAAAGGATCTCATAACAAAATAATAAGGATCAACTTTTCACATGGTGAGAAGGGAATGGTTTTTAATTAAAGGAGGGGAGATTTAGATCCTCAGCCCTGGTCTCTGCCTTGGGGCACAGCAAGACTGATGTTGAACGGCAAAGTCTCAATAAAGTAAGCTGATCAGGGTCAAGTGTATGGAAATATCACAAGCTGAAACTTTCTTTGCTCTAAGTTTCCAGCCTGAGCTGAACTGACAAGAGGACGTGAAAACAGTCAGGATATAGAGCCTCTCTGCTTGTGGAAAGGAGTGATGGAATCAGCACAAGTATCTTTTTACATGGTCTGATAGTGGTAGGACAAGGGGGAATGCTTTTAAGTTAAAAAAGGGGAGATTTAGAAACGGTGTTAGAAGGACATTCTTTATTCATAGGGTAATGAAGTTCTAGAACAGGTTGCCCAGAAAAGTTTTGGAAATCCCATTGCCAGAGGCCTCTGAGGCCAGGATGGATGGGGCCCTGGGCAGTCTGAGCTAGTGGGTGACAACTAGTCCACAGCAGTGGTCATGGAACTATGTAATCTTTAAGGTTCTTTTCAACCAAACCCATTCTATGATTCTGTAAGTCTATGAGTCCATGATCTGCAAACTTCCCGCCTTTGAGGATTTTAGAAGCCTAGATAAATTTCTTTGTCCAGAGGTTTATGCTACTTTAGATCTGGTCTTTCTTTAACTTTCTTCCCCCTGATTGTTCAGTTCCTCCCACCAGGATGTGAATCCAATTGTACAGATCACAGTTTTGGCCTTAGTGTGGTTGCACCAGTATAGACAGAGGGTATCTTGGTCAGAGCTTCCGGAGGCCAAAGCTGTGGAGAAAAAGCTGGTAAGAAGATTTTTCTGGGAGAACTTATTCTCTGGGCCTTTCCCATGAAATGCACAGCCAACACCTATATTCCTCTTTCCCTGTGCTTTGGTATGGCAGTCTATGAGACAGTCAATACACATCATTTTCCCCTTCTGAGTAGTGTTCCCCCTCTACTTTTTCTCTCTGCAGATGTCCATCTAGATGAGAGTCTGTAAGCAGCAAATTTCCTCTTATGTTGCTTTGTAGAGCCCAGCACCTTCGGGATCTGAACTTCCCCATGCTAAAGGGGGTGTGCAAGATGTTAGACAGAGATGCAGCTGGGACAATTGATGAAGAAAGGGAAGTAGAGGCAAGGGAAGGGGCTGGAATAAGTTGGGGATGTCATCTTCCAAGGTAGACATTGCTTAGAAACTTACTGGGCATCAGTTTACTTGTGATTTACATTAGAAGTGAATGCCTATGGATTATTTATTTTTTTTCTTCTTTCCTGACTTATTAAAATGCCTTTATCTCAATGCATGAGTTCTCTTGCTTTTGCTCTTCCTATTCTCTCACCATGCTGCCATGGGAGTGGGAGTGAGTGAATGGAAAATTGTCCTGTGTGGACCTAAAGAAGGATTTATGCAGAGTATGTGAATTTCCACACTTCTCTATGCCATGCCAATCCTGGCCATTATGAAACTATGTAGTCATCCTCAATTTACTGTATGTATCGATGATCATCACAGTCCACACAGCATTAATCTTATGGTACACTGAAGCCAGGGAATACATTTTATATTAATAAGCATGTTTTCATCCACTTCAGGAAGGCAGGGAGTTGGACAACATGTCATTCTTCAGATTATTTTCTATATATTTGTGTATATATATATATATAGTTATAGAAAGGAAGAGAAATACCTACCATACAGACTGAGAGAAACAAATATTCCTGAGATGAACATCTTTTGTTTTACAAACTCCTGGAAATGTTTTATAGATTAGATCAGCCAAAAAACACTTCTACTGAGTCATCTTCTCTTCTGAGGAGGTTTTTCTACGCACAGGTCAATGCATAGAAAGACAGTGACCTGTCTTGTTAGAAAGTTAGAAAATCACATTCTGTTTTGTGGCATTTCAATTATACAACTTTTTTTTTTTTTTTTTTTTTTTTTAATGAAATTAATCTCTATTCCAGCAAAAAAAAAATCTTTTGCATGTATTTACTTTATGTATAATCTGCCTTTCAAAGTACAGGATGTGCTGCTAAAAGGTTCAGTTCTGATAGACTAATGTGGAGAAAAAGAAAATCCTTCATTTAGTGCCATTTGCTTTCATTTTGCATTTTCTTTAAGTGATACTGACCTATCTTGGTTGTGGTTTAACCTGGTAAGCAGCTACATTCCAGCTGCACAGCACTTCGCTCACTCTCCCCTACCCCAGTGGGACTGGGGAAAGAATCCGGAAAAAAAAAAGGGAGAACCTGCAGGTTGAGATAAAAATGGTTTTCTGTGACAGAAAAAGAAGAGAGAGAAATAACTGTAATGATTTTATATATGCTGCAATTTCAAAAAGATTCAAGAATCTTAGCCAAAATTCCACAGTATATTCTGCATGGAGTTGTGTCCAACAGCTGCATGTTAATGTAAAACACATTTGAG